TAATAATAATAAATAAAACCATTTCGTCAAATGTTATGTTTGGTATAGAATAATTTAATATGTAATAATGGTATATTTAAGATACAATGTATATTATATATAGAAGTAAATATTTTTATTATCTCTCAAACACGAATTTTGCGAGAAACATTATAACGCCTATTACGTAAATCCATTCTGTTTTAAAATGAAAAAAAAGAAAAAAGAAAAAGAAAGAAAAAAAATTACAAGTATAATTTTTAATTTCATATTTTATTAGTGCATTTAATAATAAATAAATAAAAATGTATGTAATGCAATGCATAAATATAAAGAAAAATGGAGTCGTTTTTTTAAATCTTTGTTTATATTTGGAAGTCAGATTGATCGATCGATCAATCATTTATGCACTGTATAATATTAGTATTAATACTCGTATTAATATCATTCGGGGAAAAGTAGGTGCATGTGTGTGCGGAGGGAAGAAGAAGGAGGAAGGGAAAACGAGATTGGACCTGGTCTTTGAAAATATTTAATTAAAAATTTTGTTGTCTTTTTTGCATTTGCCGTTTTGCATGATATATCATTTAACCTTATTAATTATGACATATATAATTCGTTTTACTTTAACTGATTTTGGTTAATTATTAGTTTGTTTGTCTTCCGTGTTAAATTTTTGTCTTGTTTCGTTCGTGCTTAATCATTATGCTTTACATTGTTACGAAAAGTGTGRTCTGTTTTTGATCGTGCAAAAAATGACGTAAAAAATGGCAAATGAGTTAGCGAGCGAGCGATCAGTTGTAGTTTTGAAAAACTGAATGGGAAGATAGTAGGTAAACTGTAATTTTAATTGGAATTCTATTACAATATAAATGGATGATAAAGCATTAAACTTATAAGATGCTTACTTTTATTTGCAGCTGGTGAGATAAGCCTCTCTGCCTCTGGTTCGATAAACAACAATAAAGTAATTTGAAAATCGCGAGAGTAATAATTGAATTTTATTAACTTTCAAATTCGCGTTTATCTTCAATATTTATTCTTTAACATTACCTATCAATCTTCTATATATATATATTGAATATTTAATTGAATTAAAACTGCATACAGATTTATTAATTAAAACAGAGTTAAGATTTTATTAACTAAAAGAGAAAAGTCAGGTTTGAAAGAAATATTATAAGTGTCCAGTTCTTTCCACCAGATCGTTTATATAAGCTGATTTCTCCCACTTCTTTGATGAGTTGTTATCTGTTGCTACTTTGTTGAATAACAAATCAATTTGTAGGATAATAAATTTTCCGATAAAAAACTTAGTTTCCTATTGGATAGTTACAATAATGTGTTTAAGATTCATTAGTTTTTTATGAATTAACAAGATGGTACCTTCCAAGATTGAACTTAATAGGATGAAGTCATTGGAATTTATAATTTTATTAATCATTTTTTTTGGATTACACGACCATTAATAATATACATAATATATAATTAAATTATTATTTCAAATTATATATAAATCTATATAATTCGGTTTTGATTGCACAACTTACAAAGTTTTTTACAATGTCTTATCATTATTTCACTTATGTTTATCTTACATTTTCGAAATTATATAAATTTATTATGTTATTATAATATATGTATAAAAGCAGAAAAAAAAATAATAAACGGGTAACGACGTGATTAACCTTTTAGATACGGCTGAATTCTGAGTGTGGCTATATCCCTGGACGGCAGGGTTTGACGCGAGCAACGTATAATTGATATAACACTGCAAAGTGTGACGGGCAATTCCGTTCTGTGCACGAAAACATTCAAATGAAGTATTTGATGAATTAGTCATAATTTTCTAAGAATTATATTACACATACTTTAACTATAACATTCTACTTTAAAAACTAATAATATAATTAAGTATGATAGATTTTAAAAAATGGTACAATACATAAACCTACGTCACAATTGTTACATTAATAACGAGATCTTCGCCTTGTATCGTTTTTGGAACACACTATACAATTTCGTAAAGTTTTTCTAGAAAACCACGAAAAGCCACTATAGTGGCGCGTCGTCCTGAAAAATGATATCCGCGAAAACCACTATAGTGGCGCGTCGTCCTGTAAAATGATATCCGCGAAAGCCACTATAGTGGCGCGTAGTATCTAAAAGGTTAACATATACAGTATACTTTTTAATTATTACCACTTTACATAAAAAGGTGTTACCTTTTACAAATAAAAAAAGGAATAAATATCCACTACTTGACGTATTTATATTGCGTATTTATATTGCGTATTTATATTGCAATATTTATGCGGAAATAATATATTTTTTGTTCATTTTTCTTTTTGCAACTTTAGTTGAAAAAAAAAGAAGAAAAAAAGAAGAAAAATAGAAAAAAGAAAAACTATCACAGCTTAAAGTGGACGTTAAGCGAAGACGTATGGTTCGTGTTGAGTTCCATCAGTCAGTACTTGGTAAAAATATTTTTGTTTCTTTTCCTTTTACTTCTTGTTCGTGCTTGGTATATAGATGGAATAAATAGAAGTAAGAAAATATATAAAGAAGAGAAAAAGAATAATAGTCTTTATGGTGTCTTGTTGGTTCGATCACTTGAATGACGTTCGTCGCTTTGATCTTGCGATCTTCACTGAGATTTTTATTGCACGAAGAGGAAGACGAACACAGTAAGAAAATTCTCTCCGGGTTTGTGTTTAACAAAGTGCGTCTTACCAAGTGCAACATGAAACGTATAGAAAATACTATCATGAATTTTCATGACTCCATTCAATGACATTGAATGATTACTTCAACCCATATCCTCTTTAGCAACCTTTCAACTTATCTTTTTTATTTCTTTTTTGTTTATTTTCATCCCCTACCCTTCGCAATTTTCGTTGCGAGACGAAACGTTTTAAGAAACTTTTAACGAATTACAAGTAACCCTTTTTTATAAGATTGGTTCCTACAAAATTTTATTTTTTTATATTATAATATTATATAGATTTATATAATTTATCTTCTATAGTATTATATAACGTATACTGTGTTTCTGCAAAATAATATCACGAATTTTATATTCAATTAGAAGTCATCGGGAAAATTTGAAACTTAAAAAAGAGCAAGAATATTTGTATATTATTCACAATGATTATTTATAATTTATAAAATATTATATTTAACAAAATAATACACAAAATTAAATAATTATTAAGATACATTATTGTATTAATACTATATCTGATTATATATATATATTTTTGTTTGTTTATATGTGTGTTACGAATAAAATAGAAATGTTATATTGTTCGAATGCAATGTATTCAAGGAAAATTAGAATATCTGTTTCTATAGTTGCATGTTCGGTTAGGGTTATCAAAGGGATCTAAACGATATATCCCTATCTAGTTGGTAAATCCGAAAAGCTTAAAGCGGATATTGGGGAGTAATATTTTGTAGTGTATTTACGTAGGTGTGCTCGGATTTCAGATAAACGTGGTTAATGATAATAGTTGTATCAACACTTGGAACGTAAAGAATGCTCGTTAACGTTGTACAGTTACTCTCAAAAATATTTCAACGTTACTATACGCGTAACTTTATTGCTTTATATTTCGTTGGTTTGTAATACAGTGTTATCCCTGTTGATTATATTTAGTAATAAATCAATTAATAAGTTTAATAAATATACGTATAAATTTTTTTATCTATGGTAAATAAAAGATTTTTATTCATCTTTAGAATCCGAAATATTTTAAATGATCAGCTATAATGATATTTTACTGTTCAAAAATATGAAATTCACGAAAGCCACTATATTAGCTATCATATATAAAGATTATATCCTCTTATGCCATTATAGTGAGTGTGTACAGTAGCTTAAAATTTATTAAATGACCTATTGTTAAAAACAGTAATCCCGATAATAGCTTTATGAACAATCGAAATACGAAATCAAGTGTCTCTGAGTATTTTGAGGTATCACTCGAAATCACAATAGTGTGTATTATTTTATGATTAAAATATCCAATTGCATGGGATTCCCACAATCAATTTTTCATTAAATGATATATCACAAGAATTATTATTATCTAAATTTTTCTGCACGAGTATAAGAATTATACCATGGATGAGAAGAGAAAAATTCGACAAGAATAACAAAAAAAATTCATAGGAGACAGAGGTCGTTTCTTTAACCCTTTGAGTGTTAAGGATGCATATATGCATTTGGTAAAAGTTGATACACGCGTGTTTATTAATATGAATGTAAAATAATGTAATATTTTTGTTGTATCAAATGAAAATAATATTGTGAGAAACTAAAAATTATAATTATTAAATATAATTTATTAATATTAACATCTGTTCACATTAAATAATAAACTATTTCATTTATAGAAAACACTTAAGTTAAAAGTATTCAGCACTCAAAGGGTTAAATCGTATAATTTATTAAAGCCTATATATATATATATATATATATATATATATATTTAAATATTTCTTTTTGAAAAAGAGAAAATGGTTGAGTAAACCTTTCAAAAAAAAGAAAAGAA